CCCTTCCAACTCCTGATATTCTCTGATTCTGAACTTTTTCAGTGGGGCTGCTCCCATGCTAAAAATTCATTACATGCTGATCACACTGCTGCTTCTGCAAAACACTTACAGTCTTCCTTCCACTTATTAGGGTCCATCATCAACCTGCACTTCGTCTCCTCCAACTCTTCCTTCAGAACCTCGTGCTTTGCCTTGACCTCCCTGATGCGCTGCTGCCGCCTCTCCAGGATCTTCAGCTTGGTGTGGAAATACATCAGCCCCTTTGGAGACACAGAACGGCCACCCCGTGAGTTTGCTCATTAGCTCCAACAACTGGACACAAATTGCTCATTACTCTCAATACTCTGCAGGTGAGTTCTTTGGTTTGATGGTGGGGCTGGTGGTTTTTTGTGGTTTGGGGACTTTTATTTGAAGTTTACAGGAGTGGACTCTGATCTGGAGGAGCAGCATGCTCCATCACTCCAGCATTTGCTGCACTGCTCTGATTAGCAGACATCTCTATTACACACTAAAATCACTACTGTCCGTAAAGGAATTTTTTTTTCCAGCAGTGCCAATTATAAACACGGCCTAATTATAGTGTAAGAGTCATATTTAATCCTAAAACATACGAATTCTTATTTTCTTAAAAGCATTCCTACCTTCTCAACATCCTGGAAAGGCTATTAGGGTAGAAATGGGAGAAAGACATCAGAAGAATACAGAACTCTGCTCTCCAAAATTAGCTGAAGTGTTTTCCAATTACAAGTAAATTAAACTTGGTACATCCTTGATCGAACAGAACCCTGTCATCTACATAAAGAGTTAATGACCCCAGAGTTGAGGCAGGCCGGAAGGTTTCGTCAGCCAGGCTAAGATTATGAAGTCTTCTCATAACGTATTCATTGGGAACTTCCATCTACACCATCAGTCACGTTAGACACAATTAATTTTAGAGAGTAATCATGTTCATTTTCTGAGTTAAGGGTACCCCAACATACGAATTGTTAAATTAATAATTACAGTGCTTTAATTGCAATCAATTTCCTGAACACCCTTCCAGCACTCAAGCAAGGATTCTCTGCCTGTGCCTACAGTTGCCTACAGTTGTTGTAAAACACGTGCTGACCTCGGTCTCCTCTTGTCTGTGCCGCTGCAATCGTTCCACGTCGTCAATCTCATAAACTTTGATTTCAAAGGGCTCTTTTAAGGTGCCCGGCAGAGGTGGCAGATCAACCCACTGCCCAGTGACGCTGGGTTTTCTCCCCAGGGAGGCGGCATCGGGCAGTGGTGCAGGGATCAGTCTGCGGCGTTGGAGACCTGAAACACAAAACACAAGTGGTCCTCAGACTTGAAGAGACCAACAGACTGCGGCGCATTAAAGGAAGAGCTGGGTTCTTAGGAAGAAAGGCTTTTCTTGATCTTTCCCTTTCAGTAAAATACCCTCAGGCTGCTAATTGACTTCCTGCCTTGACAAAGTCTGTGTTGGATGGCAGCAACAGCAGCTCCTCTCCCAGAGCAGATGTCTGAGCATCAGTTCTTTATTCTCGCCTTGCACAAATATTTTCCCTGTATTCATTTTCCTCTGGTGGGCTACAATGGCACACATTACCTTGTAATGAGATAGTGAGTGATTTCAAACCAATGCTGACGATGGCAGAGGAGTCTGGAAGCCTCCTGCTCCTGCAGCTAAAGCCAAGCAAGGCCACATATGATTCCTCTCATTGCATCACCTCTTTGCAAAGAGCAAACAGTTCCCTCCAGAATTACTACCAATGCTTTCAGGTGCTAGATACCTGCAGTTTTCTATGACTTTTGGGGAATAGGAGGCATTCAGAAGGCAGCAACCAGCCAAGCTGCACCTTGAGCCACCTCTGACGTTGATGCCTATCACCACCATTGGCACCAGAAGCTCAGAGCATGACAAACAGCACCAATTCCTCCTGGATTTACAAGAGAACAGCACACAGCCACACACCACATGTGTCAAGGGTGAGTTCATGCATGGAGCTGGTCAGGTAATGTTAACAGGGCTGCAGTCCAATCCCTACAGAAATAGGGGGGCTGAAGGGCACCAGCACCAAGCCAAAATGCCACAAGCAGCTTTTGGGTGACTGGTGACAATGAATTCAGTGCCTAATTTCCTCCTCTTGCTGAAAACCAACTCAGAAGTGAGGAGTCTGATTTCTTTTGGTCTCCCTGCAAAAGGGAACACATCAGACGGAGGAGATGGTGCTGCCAAAATAACTTCTGGGCTGAGTCAAGTGCAGGTTAAGGCTGCGAGGCAAGCCCTGTCACAACCTGCAACGTGAAACAGAGACAAAATCCTGGCAGGTACCCCCAAAATTAACACCCCCCCTCAAAGATACCCAAAGAGTGACCTGCTTTACATAATCTTAAGAAAAACATCCCTAATTCGTAATTGCATCCTTGCTAATTTCTAAGTAACAAGAACGATGGGAATGGGGATGTTTTGGAAAGGGGAAGACTGTAACTCAGATTGGGGAGAGGAGGACCCCTCTGAAGAGGGCATCAAACAGATGCACACATACACACTAAGCAGACTTCACATCCTTCCTGTCTACCAGCCAAGGTCAACATCATTTCCCCAAGGATGAAGTTATAGGATAAGGGGACAAGGTTTCCAGTGAGATATATGGGAATAGGATCTGTCCCTAAATCCAGAGACTGCGTGACTCCAGCACAGTTTGGAGCAACACGAGCTACTCCAAGAATCGCTAACGCTTTGCAAAGCTTACAATCTATTTCAGGCCAGTAATGGGTCTGCACCAAACATTTCTTCTAAGAAATATTTCATGAACTTCCCAGGAAACCTTGTTTCATGCATAAAACACATTATTGTCTCAAAGGCTACAGCACTCCAAAAAAGTAATACATAATTTACCGATCTAGAGCAATTTCAACTGGAAAAAGAAATAGTTAGTCATTTTTAAAGACCTTATAAGCATTTCCTGGGGCAAAAACAAATACAAATCCATCAGTGGGTAATGCCTTCTCAATATGTGTGCAACTTGGACAGCTGTTAATATTGATTTGTATGAAAGGTTTAAGAGGTTGATATGCTATGGAAAGAGAACCGCAGCAAACGTTGCTCTGAGTTTCCAAAATGATTTATCTCCGGCTGACGTAACCCAGTCGCTTTGACCAGAAAGCACCATGAGATCTACATCAGTTGAACTCATTTGGTTTTAGTGCCAGAATCCGGCATCGCGGGTGTCTGCAAGGACTGCAATAATCACTGCTTTCCAACCAAACGCTCAGATTCAGTGCATTCCTGGTCTTATCCCCACTGTATTTCCAATGGTCAGTGTGTGTGGGTTGCTGAACAAGGCCACTGGCCATCAGCTACATGGCACCGTAGGACTTAAACCTGCATCAGTAAAAACCACTCATATGAGCCTGATTTTGAAGCCGGTTTCCTATTCTTACAGTACCCACATCTACACTCCAAAATTTCTTTATAAAACACTGTTACAGCGCAATACGGTAATTATACAATTAGCCAGTAGCATCAACATAAAAGTGACTGCCTCTAACGTATGCACTCTCCTGTTCTGCCTCTAAGCCTTGCCTTTGGGTAATCAAATACCACACATTCAGCAGTTCTCATTAATTCACAAACCTCTCCTCCCCTCCAGGCCTATTCCCTGTCTCCCAGCTCCAGCCCCAGCCCACCCCCCTGAAATTCCCTCACAGCCGCCTGGCAGCACAGCTCCTCCTCTCCTCCCTTCCCTCACCGGTCTGCCCTGACACTCACTTCCCCCTCACAAAAACTCACCAGCACCCAATTCACCCCTAACACCCTCCTATTTCGGGCCATGCAAGCGCCGCTGTCGCTGCCGACCCCGCTGAGCGAGGCGGGAACGCGGCCTCCCCGCCTCCACCGGCCCCGCATCTGGGGCCTAGGCCCCCGCAGGGAGGCAGCCACTCTCCACCATAGCACCTGTGTCCCACCTGCGGCTTTGAAGTGAAATAAATGACAAGTAGCTGCTGTCACAGCGAAATGAGCGTATGCACGTCTGGCTGGAGCACAGGAGTGATGGGGAGCGGCTGAGGGAGCTGGGGGGTTCAAGTGGAGAAGAGGTGGTGAGGGGAGACCTTATCCCCTCTGCAGCTCCTGAAAGGAGGGGGTAGCAAGGGGAGGTCGGGCTCTGCTCCCCAGGAACAAGTGATGGGACGAGAGGAAATGGCCTCAAGTTGTGCCAGGGGAGGGTTAGGTTGGATATTGGGAAAATTTCTTCACGG